CAACATTCGCCGCTGCCGCCTGAGTGCCCTGGGAGGCTCAGTTCAAAGGTATCGATCTGTACCCAAACGACGCTGTCCGGCTTTTACCCACGAATTTTATTCTTAAATGTTGCTGTTTTCAATGATGTCGTCAAAAGTATCCCTCGCTTTCCCGTACACGCGAGCATCAGGGACAACTGTAGTCTCTAGTGCAGCCCCGATGTCCGTGCGGGGAGGTACTGGGGAAGTCACAGAAAGGAGTTGGAGCTCATTTGTCGGAACTCATTGTTTGTTCTCCCTCTCGCTGGGCTGGGAGGTCGGTCCAGCCATGTCAGCCCCGCAGCCAGGCGGGCAGCCTCGCAGGCAATCTAGAGCTGGTTTTTTTGATGTGACAGTTAATGGGGAATAAAAAAATCTCCTAACGACCCTGGGCTGCAGAACCAGCCTGCAATGACCCATTTAGCAGCCACGTTACCACGCTGGAAACTTCGTGGGGGGGAGGTGGATTCGAGCCTAAAACAGAGATCAAACAAAAAAGCACGTGAACTTTTATCTCAAGCATCGCTAAGCGCCTGGGCGTTTTCGGAGGATCATGCCAGCGAGGGTCAGCAGGGTCCAAACGAAACGGGCGCTTGGATCCCTTGTCTGGGCAAGTTTCGAGGAGAAGCCTTTGCTGATCTCGGTCGGGAGTTGGACTGGGGACCAGGGGGCAATGGTTTAAGAAAAGGATTAAACGGGGCCGGGTTGGTGCGTGGCGTTATTTTTTAAAAGCCAGCGGTCCTCCCTGACGCGATTCCAAGATTGCCCCAAGCTCTGCTGGAGCTGCAATTAGCGTATATTAATAGCTGTTGCTTATTCAGCGCTGATTGCGTAAGAAGCAGACGGTTCCTTTCAAACGTGCCTGCTCAGCCGTGGGGTTTAGCTCGCGTTGAAGTTGGATTGCGCTGTAAACTCCCGATTTCACCTCACGCTCCTTTGTCACCAAAAAGGAAAAAAAAAAAAAAAAAGAAAAAAGAAAAAATGGGCATCTGTGGCATTGACACCTGTATTTACACGACCGCAAGCGTTCCCCGACCCCCGCCGGGCACAGGGGCTCTCCGGCCCCGCACGGCTTCTCCCGCAGTCCCGGCCGCCGCCGGGGAGCGAGTACAAAAAAATGGCTCCAGGCACGAAGCTGCCCCCC